GATATTTAGACAATTCTCATAATTTTTGCAAAAGGCTGTAATTTTTGCAAAAGGCTGTATTAGGTTGAATCTCACAATATCTACATTCACAAGAATACAGCTTACATCTTTTTTAGGTGCAAGTTCTGCTTCCTCTTCTTCACCTTCTTCAGTTTTCTCAAATCCCAAATTGACATGGTCATTATGGAAAAGACTATGATCGCCRTCACCCCAAGGGAATGCCTGCAAAATGAATYAGTTAATATCAATAGACTAKGAATGCAATACTCMAGTTTCGAWTTCTCTTTTGTGCAAGCTTAGCTTCAATCAAGCATAAATTTTTATTGTCTTCTTTGTAYACAGAGTGTTTGCATTACAATAGGATCTCTGCTGAATAAAAGAATATATTACATRCTTTTGAGGTTAAAGGGACACTGTCAATGGATGACATGCGCAGTAACAGTCTCACCTCTAAAGGACTTTGAAAGTATTACCTTCGAGGTAAATCATTTTGTGGTGCTTTTGACACACTTTAGAATATTCTAGATCTGTTTAAACGTTTACGAGCTGATTTATGTCGTGCCAACTTGGAGTCATAAACTTGAAAACACTAGCCTAATGTTTTCAAGTTTACTCGCGCATGCGTGCCAGTGACAGTGCCCCTTTAAGTGCGGACAAATAAGATCTTGAAACTGAAGTATTGTATAAGTAAACTTAGATGAATGCAGACTGAGAAAGTGTTTAATTTAGGTAAATCGTTGAGTCTTACAAATGCTATTTGAGATAGACAAACTGAAATATGTTAATCGAACTTAGCTGATAAATACCTTATTCCTTATCCTGATATGAGAATATGGAACGTAATTGTCAGGATTTGGATGTTCTTCATGGTCAACTATAAACACATTTAAAACAAACAGTCAAAAAATGCCAATCATCCCCAACCCTCCCCAACACAGTAAAATGTGTACTAACCAAAGAAAGCCTTGTAACCTATTGTAAGTGTTGCTGGAATTGCTATAAACAGTGACTGCAAAGAGAGTGAAGGAAAGGGTTAATTTACACAAAACTGTGAAAAATATTAAGATACATGTATGCCTTTCTCCTACATTGCTTCAATTAAACTAGTCTTCAAGTAAGCCGCATTACAAAATGACTCAATGTTTTCCATTGAAGTTCTTGACGGTGAACAGCTGCAATGGTTACTGTGAAACCATGAGAACTCCTTTTCGACATGATAGAGTGACTGACATAGCATTTTGCTTGTAGAAATGCACCACCTTCAGTGTTAAACACTTTCTGAAATAGCTGTATGTATGCAGTAAATACCTGTCTTTTGGACCCATCAACGATATGGACAAAAACAACCCCTAATCCCTCCCCCCTCATTATTGACAGTTAAAAATAATAATAATAATAAAAGCTGAMATTTGAATCATGGCTGTTAAGTGTAACTACAAAGCGATTAGCACAATTTCGAAATTATTTTTGAATGTCTTAACCTTATACAGTAACTTAATTAAGTTACAGTTGCTCTTCATTTAGCTTATTAAGGTTAAATATATTATTTAAATAGATTTTTAAATAAAATCAATAAATAGAATCAATAAAACATGTACTTACAATTCGTTTCCAGTTCTTAAGAGTTCCTTCAGCATGCTTTTCTTCTTCTTGTAATGCTTGACGAAAGCTACTTTGAAATCGATGACCAGAATTCCCTAAAGTTTAATCAATATCGAGTAAAAAATATGAAATAATATCGACTCATAGTGCGTCAAAATGAACTCAAATTACAACAAAAAGATTATTTATTTTGCATTGAATAACAGAAATACTAAAATGTAAACGTAATACGTACAAATTCTTTGAAATCTTCTGCTAAAGCCCAACGCTTGAAATCTGGACGCCGCCATTTTGGATTCCTTCTCGACCTAGTCTTTTTCCCAGAGTTCCTTTCGATGTGAAACAGGAAGCCCAACCGATAGGACGTTTTAGATCTGTACGCAGAGTATCTTTGTAGAAAAGGCACGGACATTATTTTAAAAAAAGGAGAAGAAAAAAAGACAAGAAAAGAAAAAAAAACAGCTTTTTACGAACATAAAAAGTAAATGAAAAAAATTGCAGAATAGGATGATAGGACGTATATTTGTAGAAAAGGCACGGACAAAACAACAGTTTTGGTTTGGCTGAACGCAGGTGATTATTAAAAAGAAAGGAAAAGAAAAAAAAAACCCAGCTTATTGCGAACATTAAAAGTGAATGAAAAAATCCGTAGAGCAGGTTGATAGGACGTATCTTTKTAGGAAAGGCACGACTCATTAAAAAAGGAAAAAAAAATAATAATAAAGAAGGCAAGACAAGAAAACAAAAAACAACTTTTTGCGAACATTAAAAGTGCTCTGGTCTACAAGATTTTTTTTTTCATTTTTGGAAAGAAGTGATTCATTAAATACCACGATTGTGGGTGCGTAACAGCGAACGCAACGCAGCAAAACAAAATTGTCAAAAATATTTTATTAATATTTTACTCAATACTACAAGTAGTACCTTAACTCGTTTTTTAGTTGAAAGTCAACATTCTCATTTTCATGCCTGCAAGAGTTGCAACCAAATCATCTGGAGTATATTTACAATATTAAAAAGTGACTTTTGCTTACAACTCTATAGCTGGTTACACAAAATGTGAATGGTCATTTCCCGTAAGTGCCAGATGCACCATGGGATTGACTAAAGTACAAACTGTGTGTTTTATGRACAACGGCCACATAATTTATTTCCCAGACAGGTACTCTACAGACGTATCTTACTGTTCTTCCAAATAAAGAAATAACGTTGGTTTTCTTCGTTCCATTTAGTTTTTCAATAAACTCCATCCGCCATCTTGTATTTTTACCACAATGCATTTCGTCAAAACTAATGACGTGAATCATTGTTGCAAAGGACCACAGCGCAATCCACAGGATGCTTCCATATCTAGTGAATACAAAACCTTTGTAGTGCATGGATAACCTCCGTATAGGCGAACATAGCATTCTTATATCCGGTGTACATGCAAAATGGTGATTGGGTGCTTTTAGATCGACGTCATCTGCTGTCACCATGACGACCTCTTGARCCACTCCGCCCTAGGGCATTATAAATACGTTGCCTACTCTCATCTACGCTACCCGAGCGAGACTGGCGCCCAGAGTCACGTGGGGTGCTTTTGATCCCATCAAAYCCTACAAGACAGACTGAGCTCCCATTTGAAGTACCCCGACTATTAATGGATGCACTAGAGTTCACGCTAGTAAGACTAGTTTGTGATGAAGATACTTTGTTAACTCTCTGTAACGAAAGGAGCTGGGTTCTAGCTTCACTTAAGGCGTCGGTTAGTTCCAGTCTCTCCTCGCATTCACGGCGAACGGTGTCCTGCAAAACTTCAACCTATAGTAGAATAAAAAAATAAAGGTTTCAGTTGAATGGGAAAGATCACAATCAAGCCGATTTATTTTGATAGAAAAATAGTCTCCTTCACGGCTGCCCGCGCCATCCTGAAAGGTAGCCGTGCCTTAACATAGACGAGAGACAACAGTTGAGCATGCAATGTTAGATACCTTTGAATAATTGTCTGTAGCTGTGAAAAAAGGTTTTTATCATTGGACGCTCAACGGTTGTCTCGCTTGGATGCAAAGGCGCGGAAACCTTTCATGATGCCGCAGGGAACCGTGAAGACTATTACCGACGGGTATAATCTATCATCAGAAACCTACAAGGGACTTGAAACATGTAACGCCCGTACATTTCTTTAGTACCAAGCGTCGGAATATTCAAAGCTCATTAAAAATTTGAAAACGAACGTTATGACCATATTTGGAAAATTTGGCCGTTGGGTAAGAGATTTAAGGCCCTTTCTTGTTGGCTATAGGTAAATTTAATTGTTCCAAATAAGGTCAAATAAGGAAATGAGATTATTAGATGAATATTCCAACGGTTGGCATGGCGTTACACGTGTGAAGTCCCTTATAGGTTTCTGCTATCATCTAATCCAGATCACAGCTGTTTCTCATTACCTGTTGTCTTGCTGATGTTAGTTCAGACTCTAAATTAATTAACTGTCGTTCTTTAGTGTTGTTAGTATGTTCTAACTCTTGAAGGTGTGCCTTCAGGGACGATACTTGGTCCGCCGAATCATTCGATCGTTTGCTCAGCCTGGACTGTAGATCTTTTATTTGTGCTTCGAGATCTGTTATAACAGATGAGCTCGAATCTTTTGCTGTGGACATTTCTCTCTAAAATATTGGGAAAACGTTTTGTCAGTTTGTGAATATCCGCCATAGGGCTTTTCTGAGATAGCAGTTTGCCTTGCATTGTGGTTTAGTTTGTGCTGCCAAATATGGCGTTGTATATACTGAAGCTAGACCACAATGCACCACGAGTTTGTTATCCAGAAAARGTCTATGGAGTTCCTGTTCCTGTAGACAGAACTTGACATATTCCAAATTGTCTTGACATATTCCAATCTGCCTTGTTCTGTCCCAATATATCCTACAATGCATTGCGTATACGGCACATGACGTAAAAGCTTCAGAGGTCTAATGGTGAACTGAAGCAGGCAATGCCGTACCGCGAAATGCAGAAAAGAAAATCGCTTCCATTAGAGTAGCCTGACCTTCGGTGCTACAAATGTCCTTTTTCTATTATTTCTATTATTTACCTTTTTGTCATCAACTTCGAGCCGCAACTGTCTAAGTTCTTCGCGGTGTTTTCGAGTCATATTGCTAACATCTTGTTTGAACTAAAAYAAAAAGGAAAGTTAAAAGTTGAACTAATGATATCTAAAAAAAAAGAAAGAAAGAAAGAGAAAAGAGACAGAGGAATTAGCGAGGGGTATGAAATTCTGGAAGCTATAACGGAGTGGCTGTATTTTAAAAGGCCGGGTTTCACTGCATCGAATTCCCCTATCTAATTTCATAGCGAAATGGTGGGAACTAGCAGTAAACTAGTATGAGCTTCGTCGGTGTTTCTAAACAAACAGTTTTTTTTTAAGATTAATTTAACACCGTAAAAAGTAGTTGAAATAACTTACTGATGTAACTATTTCTTGCCTTAATTTTCTATTTCTCGTTACCATGCCTACCTTGCTCCTATTGGTCTAATTTCTTTGCTACTCTTATTATATAAATTCACACTTAGCCTATAGTTTCGTCTCTTTAGAGTGTTTTTCATTAACCCGTGAAACACACTTTAGTGTATTTATCGCTATTACACTTTGGCTCTTTGTTTTTTATTGTCTCTACGCGACTATTACGATCTATTACACTCTAATTATTACACTTTGTTTCACGGGTTTATGAAAACCACTCTACTCCGACGAAGGTTAACGTTCGAAACGTCAGTAAGTTATTTCACCTACTTTTTACGGTGTTAAATTTATCTTTTTACAAAACTGTTTCATAGCGAGCTGCATCCGCACTTTTATAATCTCAGGCCCGGTTTGTTCGTCGATATTTTTCCGTGTCTGATCTAATTGCTTTCAGTGAAGTTCACGAATATTTCGCATAATAACTTAATGGGGACATTTACGGATTATTATAAGTTCGTCCAACTGAACAAAATCTATCAATGACACTAAATTCAGAGTACGAAATGCTCATAAACTCAACGCCAACACTTAGATGAAAACGCGACAAAAGATTTACGTCTTAACTAGGCCTAACCTTATCTTGTGTATTTTTAGCTTCTGATTTCCACTGGTTCAGTTCTTCAGCATGTCGTTGGGACTCTTGTTCAAGTTCCTTGTATAAAAAGAAGGAAAAAACGATTTATAACCAGAGTCAACTGATAGTCAGATGGAAAAGGATAAAAGACTTTGGAGTAGGATAAGAAACAGGATTGTCTGGATCAGTTGGGATCACGAGGGATCAAAATACGACTTTAGGCAGCAGCGATCAGGACATATGACTAAAAAATGCATACGAACTGAAGAATCGAGCCCATAGCATCACTTTTCATACCATCCATTTTGGAAGTGCTTGTGACACCTGACACAATAATACTCCAGTTTCGAGATCTTAATTGTGCAGCCTTAACCTCGAAAGCATGTAATATATTCTTTTATTCAGCAGTGATCCTATTTGTAATGCAAAAACTCTGTGTAAAGAAGACCATCAAAATTTATGCTTGTCTGAAGCTAAGCTTGCACAAAAGAGAATTCGAAACTGGAGTATTGCTGATTCTCTGTGAACTGATTCTATATCATCAAGTTAATAATTGAATTGTAAAATATTCCTGCATTTCAGTGTTGCGTCTTTGAGATTTGAAGGTTAAATTTCACAACATGCTAATGATAATGACGACAAGGGAGGCTTCATTAGATATACGAAATTCGAAACAGTCACTCATAGAATCAGCTCACAGAGAATCAGAAATTATTGTGTCAGGCGTCATAGGCACTTTAATCGATTTGTTATTATATTATTTCCTTGCACACTGAATATAGATGTGTGATATCTAGCAAACAAAACAATAGCACTTAGCCACTTGCAAAGTAAAGGCTCTTGCGATTTTTGCCTCTCTTTGTCACGCGACAATCGCCACTATGTTTTCGCGCACCTCAAATCGTACGTGTAAACAGCTCTGCGATTGTCGCAACGATATTTCAAGCATGCTCGAAACTCAAGCGATTGTCGCGCGACAATCGCGCTTCAAAATCTCAAGTGTAAACGGGCCTTAAGAGCAGCTTTGAAAATTGCGATTTTTTTTCATTGATGTCAATGTATTGTTACTTGATACTAATGGCAGGAGAGCACTTATTAGAAAAAGTCTCTCTCTAAGAGGATATGTTCCCCCCCAAAAGCAATACAACCAGTGCATATTTATTTAAGTTGCCACCTTTCGAAAAGAATCATTGAGTTCTTTCCACATTTCATCTTTTTCTTGTTGGTGCTTTTGTTGCAGTTCTTGGATAGCTTTTGAAAACTAAAAGTAAATCATTAAGAAACTAGAAATAAACAACGCGGGCCAACTAAATATAAAATAAAATCTAATTTTTACCACACTTGTGTAAATTCTCGCGCGCTGATTGGCGGATAAGAGAGTGTGATTGACGGATAATAGAGCGTGTTTTAATTCTCGCGCGCTGATTGGCTGATTAGAGTGTGTCAATAAGAGGACATGCACACTGTGCTGACACCATCACGTCTCAAGCGCGCGCTCAATTGAAAGAAAAGGATGATTTTTTGCTAATATCATAGTTAACTATTAACTATGCTAATATTTAGACTACAAAGTGGTAAATAACAAATTGCACACGGTTTTTCGTTGCATGTACACTCTTGACATCATAAAATGTTTAAAACTTCACAATGAACTAGCCTGCGTCACATCCGGACAAACTTTCGGTTAAGAACCGAAAGTTTGTCCGGATGTGACGCAGGCTACAATGAACCCACTCGCTACGCTTGTTGGTCCACTTGAGTTTTGAACATTTTATGACGTCAAGAGTGTGTCAATAAGTAAGCATACCGTGCGCAATTTGTTAGATACAAATATTAATGAAATACCTATATTAGTTTTTTCTCCTGTGGAGAATCCACATAATTTGCTTTCAAAGATAATCATATAAAAAACAGAACATTACGTGGTTGTCATCTTTTTCATCATTTTTTGATAATATTTTGCACAATTATTTTGTACCTTCTCTGGCCAGGCGTCTGCCTCGTTCATTTTAGACTTGAAACTTTCTCTTAGTTGTTCTATTCTATTGTGGTGAGCAGTTATCATCTTGTCTCTACATGATAGCAAGCACGATTAGTAAGAATTTTCTTTTAGATAATCCCTGGTGCAAATCCTGGCTAGGATCCTACTAGAATTCAATAGGATCCTGATACGATCCTAACCAGGATCTCGCCAAGATCCTTTCTGACGCGTAGCGTGGACGTTTTTAGTACGCACATGTCAGGGACCGCGACACATATTTTGGATCTGGGGGTCTAACGACCGTCAAAGGCGGGAGAATTAAGGGAGTCTGGACCTCCCCCAGGAAATTGAAATAATAACTCTTGGAAATGCGATTTCCAGCGTTTTGAGAGACATGCATCGAGGGCATAAAAAGGAATCAATTTTATGTGAATTTGTAAGTAATTTTTTTTGAAAATTTTAATGTTTCTTTGCTACTAGTATGCACTTGCGTATATGCGTAAAGGACGCTACGTGCCTGCCTTTATAAGATCCTATTCAAGATTCTACAGAATATCGTTTAGGATTCTAATCCTACTTAGGATCTTGCATAAGGATGTGATCCTGTGTAAGATACTACCTATGCTGGATTCAGCTCAGGATCCCCCTACAGTACATAAATAAGATCCAAACGTATCTTTCAGGATCGTGTTTAGGGTTTGCACCAGGGATATGAATAGACTAATGGTTCGAAAATTCACTTTATTACAAAACAATGATAATCATCATTGGACGCATCTTAATAACAATAAACAAATTAATCAATTTTTCTGGTTTTCTTATTTAGACATTAGTAAAATTGATGGAACCCTACAATAATATCATGTTTCTACTGATCGATGCTGTGACTCTTTGAAAGTAAGRTAGAGAAAGACATATGTGTGTATTGAAGTAGAGTTATTATAGTGAGTCATTAATTCATACCTTTCTTCTTGTAGAGTTGCAATTTCAGTCTTTGCTGCAGAAAGTGAGTCTTTTAAAGTCTTCAAACAATAAAATTTTAATGTTTAAAAACATTTCTTTATGATTAGCTCAATTTGGTAGGGCATTGAAAACAATTTTTTTAAAAAAATGTCATTATTTCCACACTTATTCCTGAAAAGATTGAATACTGTATACCACACACTGCTTCCAAGTCTACAATGMATTGTTGCCACAATTAAAGTTCACATTTGCCGTACTACAAAATGACAATTTCTAATTTTATAATTCTTTTCCATTRAAGTTCTTGACTGTATAAAGCTTGTATGTATGATCACTCTGAAACCACAAAAATTCCTTTTGAATGGCAATGGTACTGATAACGATGCATTTTGATCTCCAGTATTCAACATTTCCTGAGTTATCTGTATAAACTGTTAGCCTGCATAGTGACTCTAGGGGAGGGGGAAGGAGGAAGAGGGAGGGGGGACTGGGAAAAAGGGGGGGGGGGGTCAGGGTAGAACCCCCCTCCCCTTCCATTTTCCCCCTCTCCCCCTCCCCTAGAGCCACTATGCAGGCTCTACAAACTGCATACCAACAATACCTTCAGTTGTTGTTCAGAGCCTGAGGCTAACAGCTTGGTTTCATGTTCAGCTTTRCTCAGCTCATCAAGCTGTACCTTTAACTCATCTTTTTCTTTCATAACATTGTAGACTTCTTTTTCTTTATTGAGAATTACTTCTTGTAGCTTCTGTTTGTCCTTTTTTGTGGATTCTTCCTTTGTTTGTAACTGTTGCTTTAGAGTGTCAATCTCTTCATTACAGGAAGAACATGATCTAAATACAAATTGGTCTTCATACTGTTAAATAATTTGTTGATATTATATATAAATATTTTTTGAATAACTATGCTTGATACCATCCTCACACCCAGATCCTGCTCAGATTTCCAAGAGAAAATTGAAGACTCTGGAGATGATACSAGAYGACCCAGAATCTGGGCCGTAATRATATAATGTATACTGATGCCACATGAGACCCATTTGTCTCCAAACAGAGCCTTTRATTTTCTGTTGRGGAATGATCTGGGTACAAGAATGGATACCTCAGACCCATTCAACACTTCTTCTTGCACTGTATTACATGATTGTACAAACCTTTCAGTCTCTTTATACTTCAAGATTTCAGACAGCTGCTGTTGAATTTTTTCTTTCAGTATTGCAATGTCATCTCTATATCTTTGTGTTTCTCTTTCAAGATTATCACACTTGACCTGCAAGTCACTAGACCTTTGTCTTGATTCTTTTAAAACAGTTAATTCTTTCTCGGAACAACTCAGCTTCTCTTGAAGTTGACGGCAGTTCTTTTCTAATGCTGTTTTCTCACTTTCAACCTGAAATATTTAGAAAATGGTACTATTAA